GGTAATAATCTTGTTGCATTGTATGGTAATGACCACCCTTTCAAAAGTAATTGGTCACTTTCTTATATCTATGAACAGACCATAACTTCCATAATTGCGGCTAAAAATCAGCACGATGAAGATTAAGACAGACTATACAAAGAGACTACGAAAATTCAGTCCCTATTGATGTGTAGATTTCAACTGCGACTAATTTTTGTAGTGTACGATTAAAACAAAAATAACTGGAGAGATTATTTTCGCGCAATTAAAACTTGTTAAATAATTTAAATGATACCCACATTAGCGTTCGGAGTTTATACATATATAATTAGATTTCCTAAATATCACGCCTACGGTCCATTGCATTGCTCATTATTTATATTTCAGTTACGGCCATACAAAGAAACGTTAGATAAAGAACCGTTAGACGAGGCAAAGGAAAATAACAAATATACGCTTTGAAGTCAGAACTTTAAAGGTGGAAAGTCAGGCACAACGAGAAACGAAATGAAAGTAAATATATACGGAAAACTAACTTCATTTATAAAAAAAATGCACCCGGAACATTCCGCGAGAAACGTTGGACTTGTTAGTACCCGTGGGCTCCTCATTAAAATTTTAAATGATCAAAGTTCCATACAGCAAACAAGAAAATATGAATTGAATTCGAGAGTCCTGTACTTGCCGATTGGACGAGCGATACTGAAGTACAGCTTGATTAGGAATAGTATTTCCAATATTTTTGATTAAATATTATAATTATTTCGAACCAGAGTTGCTTGTTATAGGTTTTCCTGCTGCAAAAACTGTAAAGTGGCTGCGTTTTAGCCAGGCGTTCAAAACATTACCGGGTTGAAATTAGCAGACTAAAGTTGGTAGCCAAATTTACGGAAAGTGGCGGCGGAGATTTCTAAACCAGTTTAGGAAGCAACTGATTCTAATTAAATAAATCTTTGGCTTTCGTTTCCAGAGGAAATGTTCCGCGGCAGCCCCGTACGAAGATTGCTATAAGGTGAAATTAAAAAGTAGCCAATATAGTTTTCTACTTTAATCCAAATATACACACTTTCCATGTTTTGATGAAAATGTGTTTCGAAAGGTTAGTTTTGGTGTTTCTTGCACTCTCGAATGGAGTTGCTATAGGGTGAAACTAAAATGTATATATTTTTTCTACTCTTATCGAAATTTACATACCTTCATTTTTTGATGAAAATGTGTCCACAGTTTCCACCCATTTTTATAACTTGCATTTACGACAGTTCACTGCGCTTTCACGTATTATTAATTTAATAAATTTTAAATTTACTTTTTAAAAATAACATTAAAATAGGTTCAGAACAAAAAGTAAACAAAGAAGGAACTCTGAAAACTAAAATATAAGAACAAAAAAATATATTTTTAAATAATTACCTTATATACATACTCCCTTAGATTTCGTTTCACAAAGCTAAAGATTCAAACACACCTACAAACCAAGGTATCAAAAAAACAGTAATTATTATTTCAATCTACAAGTGTTTCGCCATCATCAGCATCATTAGACTTGAAATTTTAAAAAATAATAAATTAATATACATAAATTGAGCAAATACGCACATGCATAAACGTCAACTAAACCCACACAGGGTAAAAAGGGAATGAGATCGAATCCATTTTATTTATACGAGATTCAAAAATGAAGTAACGAGTTGCAATTGAAATATAAACCAAATTTCAACATAGCTAAACCGGAGGCCTCGAGCCTAAGTTATTAAAAATTAATATTGGCTCAAAATCGAAAACGTCACTAACAACATTTTGATTAGGAGAAAACTTAGTTACAAAATGTAGTTGTGTGACATGACAGCAGTGCCACTCTGACGTATTTGAACATACAATTTTATTTCTGTCCGTAAAACTTGTATTTTTAAAAACGATTTTTATTCAATACGAGCGTTTACAGGCAGCGTTACGACAAGAAGCGACTTAAGAAACTAAATAAGCACATGCACAATACTTGTATTTATAGTATATAAAAGCTGAATAAGCTTATCCTTATCGAATGCGTTCTTATTATTATATGGGTCATCATAAATAGATATATAACTCCTCCCTCCTCAACACCTGATTTTACAAAGTCCAAACGTTTTAGTGGGTAGGTTGCTAGATTTTGGGCATTATATTATATGTTATTTATATTTTCGAGATTAATTTCTCTTAATTACAAAGGTTCGACATTTTGAACCAATTTCTCATCAATGGTTATTGATGGAAGTTTTAGTCTTAAATTAATTATGTCTATTTTTTGAGAATCATAATTATTATCCTGAATTTCAACGTTACAGTTTAACGGGAGAATTAAAGAGGCTTTCTTTATTATTTCAATACTTTGTTGATTTGGGCATTGGAAATATGCTTTTTCCTGTGAAGAGGGGATTACTAAAATTGAATTGTCTTTTAATTGAGTAACTGAGGTTTCTAAGTATTTTACCTGTATCATTGGGCAATGGTTAGTTAAATTAATTGTTTGTGGAACGCATGTTTCATTTTTATTAAGTAAGCTTCGTGGGCATAACGATATTTCTTCAATTTTATAACAGTTTTCCTTTAGGTTGAAGAAATCATCCATGGATTTTAATAGATATGGGTTATTTATAACAGGTATATTATTATTTACAGGTATCGGGTAGATACGATAGAGAGTAAATGGTTTATTTAATATTAAAGGTATTGCCATATAGAATATAATAAGTTCATTCTTAATTACAACGTCTGTATGTATCACCTCATAATATTTAATAATATTATCAAAGGGAATTCGTGTTTTCGGGTCAAGTTTAGCGATGACGTTCTTAAGTTCTTTATACTTAAAAATGCTGTGATGCATTACGTTTATTTCTGCGAAGTTAATAGCAGTCTGTACGTTACTACGGATTTCATTAATAACGCGGAGATTGTTCTCTAAATTATCGAGTAAGATAATAAAATATGATGTTAGCGTCTGTGTCATTTTTGCTAAATAGTTAATCTGAGTTAGTATTTCTTGTTGATTATTTTTTATATTATTCAATTGGGAGTCTATGTCTTTTGTTAGTCGTTTAACAATCGTTTGAGTCGAGGATATATCTTGATGAAGAATTTCTTGATTTTCATGTAGTGTTTTAATATATTGATCATAACGTTTACCATCGTCTGCGTCTAAAGTACCAAATAAATACTTTTGAGCTTTTCCCCAGAAATTAAAGAGTCCTCTTTTTATTCTTTTATGTAAAGTAGTATAATGATTAATAAAAGTTTGAATAGATTCTGCTTGGTCTATAAGATCTAGAGTTCGGGTTATCAATAAGTGGCCTATAGGTGTATTTAAATTGTTTAAAGTCGAATTAATACTTAAAAGCGTTGACTTTATTGCTTTTATACTATCTTATAAATTAGTTAGATTAACATGATAGTAGACGTGATGGAAGTTCGTTATTATATAACTATCTCCTTCGTAGACTGGTAATAGAGGATTTTCTATTTCTTCTATTTTATATTGCGCACTCACAAGCATTGGCAGTAGGAGTACAGTAGCTTTCATTCTTATACCTAAAATTACAAACGTCTTTTAACATCTTTAGGGTGTCTTTGATTTTTAAATTCTATCAACTTATATTTAGGTTGTAGATTTTGAGCTAGTTTTTGAGGTGTATTTATTAATTGATTTGTACCTTCGGGTATTTCAGGGTCATTTTCACGTTTTTCGTTTAGTTTAGCTAAGACATTCGCTTTCTTGGCATTAAGTTTCATATTTATTTTTTCATCAAGTTCGTCGAAAGTACGTGCGAGGTCATATATATAATCGGTTTGCAGTTGATTCAAGTTTTTCTCGAACTTTAGTTGGTAATTAAGATTTCCTTTTAGAATTTGGAAAGGAGTATATTCATGGGAAGAATGTATACTATTATTATAATTTAGAATTACAATATCCATTAGTTCTTGAATCGTTTTGGTACGGTGATCATTTCTAAGGGCAACAAGACTTTCCTTAATAGTTGAATGTAATCTTTCGACTGGTGAATTCGAGTTTGGGTTATATGGTGTAGTAAAGTGTAATTCTATTTTATATGTTTTACACAAATCCTCTAGTAATTTACTTTTAAATGTCTGCGCGTTGTCAGTTGTGATTTTACTTGGCGTACCATGGTGTGAAAAGAATTTAATTAGGTTTTGGCATATTTCGAGAGATGTCTCGTTGATAGGGTATGCCGCTGCAAATTTAGAAAAGTTGTCCAATATTGTAAGATATTTTTGTCCTGAGATTGAATATATATCCATATGTATGTGTTCTAAAGGTTTAGATCCAATTGGCGTTGGTTTATAAATGACCTTGTAAGGATGTCTATCATATTTAGTTTTCTTGCATACTTCGCATAAATTAACAAAGTTAATTACGTCTCTTTCAAGACTTGGCCAATAATACTTTTATTTGATATTTTTGATATTTTCCGTCATTCCTCGGTGAGATGTTTTTGTATTATGATATCTGTTTACTATTTCTTTTTGTTCGTCCTGGTCGGTTACGTCTTCAAGCAAGGTGTTAGAGATAACTAATTTATGCATTATTTTTAAATGTTTCCTGGAAGGTTCTTATAATTACCGGTTCTAATTCCTTATTCCAAAAGTATAAGCAGTAAGTATCTGGTGGTAAGTTGTCTCGTAATAATATTTGAATTCTTTCCATTATTGGGTTTTCATTTATGTACATCATTATTCTCTTCTTAGTTTCAAATAATTTTTCTATTTGAACGTGGGGTTGTTCTTTGTCAGTCCACTTAAATATAATTTGATTTTTAAACGTATTTATTGCTTTATTAACGTATGGTGCTCCTATGATTGGGTTTTCCATAGATGAATGTATAGTTTCCGTATCAGAGTTGCTTTTTTCGTTTTGGGTTACTTGCTCACTTATTGATGGTTGAGGGTTGTTTTCTTCGTCCGGTTGTGATATCTGATATTTTATTTTATTCGGAGGTTTTATTTGGATATCTGAAATTATGTTAATTTTGGGGTTCTTTACGATGTCGCTTTGATTTGGTAGCTGGCATACAAGAATTTCTATATTTATAGTTTTCTTTAGCATGAGTTTTCATTTTATTTAGGGCTTTCCATAATGTGAAATAAGTAGGTTTTTTATTGGACTTTTCCTTAGTAATTAGGTAATAAATAAATCTATTATTTTTGTCATCAAATAGCGTAGCTATTCCTCCTGGTTTTGGATTTTGGTCTAGAAGATATTTTACATTTTTGAATTTATTTTTAAAGTCTACGGCGATGCCTTGTTCCATTCTAAGGTCAGCTGCAACACAATGTGCTAGCGAGTAGTTATTCTGTTCAAATAAATCACCTTTAACTTCCTTAATTATATTTGAATGTTGGATGGGTTTCCAATTGTCTTCGAATTTTTTAAATTGAGCAGATTCATTATCAGTCATTATTTTCTGTGGTTGTCCGAACAAATTTTCCTGTGATTCAAAAAAGTGTTTAATTTTTTCATGCCAAATGTATTGATCATCTTTTCCTTCATTTTTTTCGCATACGGCGGACATGTGTGTTAGTGGTGGTTTTATTAGATCCACAGGGTGAATTTCCTTAGGAGGACGCGATTTATATTGAACAATGTAGTCGAATTCCTGTAATTTTAATTTCCACCTGACTAATTTCGAGTTAGGTTCCTTAAGAGAGAAGAGCCATTGTAACGGCTTGTGATCCGTTATTATCGTAAATTTCCTACCAAACAGATATGGTCTAAAATACTTAGTAGCCCACACGACAGCGAGAAGTTCTTTTTCTGTCGTAGAATAATGGCATTCTGCAGAGTTAAGTGTTCGGCTGGCGTATGCTATTGGTAGATCCGATCCGATAGGTCCTTGCGAAAGTATTGCACCAATTGCATAGTCCGAAGCATCCGTTGTTAAGACAAAAGTTTTATTAAAATCCGGGTATTGTAGTATGGGGTCATTGGTCAATATATTCTTGCAATGATTAAAAGCTGAGACGAATGCTTTATCGTGGGTTATTTTAACTTTTTTCTTTAGGCAATGTGTCAATGGTTTTGTAATTTTTGCGAAGTCTTTAATGAACTTCCTATAGTATCCAACGAGGCCCAAAAATGATTTAATTTCTTTTGGAGTACTAGGGATTTTAAAATTCTTAATAGCCTCAATTTTCTTCGGGTTTGGTTTAACTACATCCGGAGTTACTGCATGTCCTAAGAATTCTACTGTCTTCTTTAAAAGTTCTGATTTATCCAACTGTATCTTCATATGGAAGGACGAAAGTCGTTCAAAGACTAATTTTAATGAGTTTAGATGTTCCTGCAGACTAGTTGAAAATATTATTATATCATCCATGTATACAAGACATATTTTACCCAATAGTCCACGCAATATATTATCCATCGCACGCTGGAATGTAGATGGTGCGTTCTTCAGTCCGAAGGGCATACGTATGTATTCATAGTGTCCGTGTTCTACGTTAAACGCTGTTTTCGGAATACTTTCAGGATCCATTTCTATTTGATGGAATCCGCTAGCAAGATCTATTGTTGTAAAATACTGGCATCTTCCTAGTTTATCAAGTATATCGGCGATATTCGGTATTGGATATTTATCGTCTATTGTTTTTTCATTTAATTTCCTATAGTCTATCACGAGTCTCCATTTCCTACATCCGGATGCGTCTACCTTTTTGGGTACTATCCAGACTGGTGAGCTCCAGGGAGAACTTGATGGTCGAATTATTCCTCCTTGTAGCATTTCTTCTATCTGTCTATTCACTTCTTGTTTATGGATATACGGGTATCGATAGCTTTTCGCATGTACGGGAATTTCATCACTAGTTCTAATAATATGTTTAACTTGGTTTGTAAAGGTTAAAGTGTCTCCGGGTTTATGTAAAATTTGTTCAAATTTTTTAATAAGTCTAAAAAGCTGTTCCTTTTCTTCTAGATTTAGGTGTTCATGCCGTATTAAATTTTTTATATCGATTTTCCCAGTGATTTCTTTTTTTATTGTCGGGTTATTAAAGGCCGTTGTTTCGAAATTAAAGATTTCAAAATTATTAAGTTCGAAGGGTTCTAAGGGTAAGTTATTATTAATACTACCTTCGAGGGCTATTGATTTTTCCGAATGATTATATATATCAATTGTATAAGTTTTATTTGTAATTGTTACAAGGGTTGGTTGTATTTCAATTTCGTTGTCACGATAATATAGCATTAACCATGTCGTATTATCAGGCAGATTAGTTTTATGTGTTGCTTTTTGTATAGTTTTTGGGGGAATCTCTACTACATAGTCATCAAAATTTTGTCTATATTGGAAAGGAATTTCAATGTATTGGTTTTTTAACTTAGTATTGTATTATTGTTAGAGTTTTCTACGTGTGTTAATTCCTGAAATGTAAAGTTTGGTTTACCTGTTGATTGAAAATAATTTTGTTGTGGTCTCATTTGCGGAAACGATCTTTTAGGTTGTATGCTCACGCCTGACATAGGTTGGGGGTATTGATTTTTTGAATTTTGGGGATTAGTTTGATTAGAAGTTTGCGGTTGTTGCATCGGATGTTTAAAAAATTGGTTTTGTGGCTTGAAAAATTGGTTTTGAGGTTTAAAGAATTGATTTTGTGGCTTGAAAAATTGATTTTGAGGTTTAAAGAATTGATTTTGTGGCATTTGATGGGGATGTCCAAATGGTAAATTTTGCTGTCTAAAGGGTTGATTTGGCTGTCTAAAAGATTGATTTATCAGATTTAATGGTTTCTGCATATTATGTCGTGTAGACGTACTATTTTGTAGATAAGTATTTTTAAAATGTGTTTGACTTGTTAATATTTCATAATTATTAATAGCTTTAATTATAGCTTCATCCAAATTCTGAGGATTGCGAACTATAAGTAACGTTCTCAATTAATTAGGAATGTTTGCTAAAAGATTTTGTGTAGCGGTTAATTCATTTTGAGAAATTAATATCGATCTAGCTTCAGCGTTTTCAATTTCTGAACATATCTTAGTATTAATTTTAGTGACTAAGGCTTTGAGTTTTTGAATGTAGTCTTGAATAGAATCATTTTTCCTCGATGAGAATATTAATTGTTGTTGAAGGTTAGTACGAGTGATCGGATCACTAAATTTCTGAATTAAAGCTGATTTTATCTCGGGCCAGGTTCTAAGGTCTGGTCGAGTTAAAAGAAAATCTTCGGCTGTACCTATAATTTTTGATTTTATTGCCAAGATAACATATTCCTGCTGTGATTGATCATTATTAAAATATCTTACATAGAAGGTATCGATTTGGTTAAGGAAAAATTCTAAACGTGACGGCGTACCATCGAAGTTTTTTAATAGAGAAACAGTTGATCTCAAAGCGTCGGCCATATTGTTAATTTCACTAATAATTAAATCTAAGCTAGTTTCTAAAGTATCCGTAAGAGTAGAATTATTTTCTTCACTTACACAATGCAACAAAGAAATACCAGAATATAATTCGTTTATTTGATTACTACGTGATTGATTATTTTCCGCACCATTTATTCTTCTAGGATAAGTAATATCGCTTAGCCTATTTTTAAATTTCCTCATGAAATATCATAAAATCTTTTACAAATTCTTAACTAACAGGAGTCACAACTATAAGGAACAGTTTAGTAAACGCACTTACAATTATATGTTCCTAGTCTCGTTCCTGTATCAAATGGTCACGTCCAGTTGAGAAGCTGCACTGTCCCAAGAACGATGCCGTTTGTAGTGGACGCTGGCTCAGGCTAGTTCGTCCTACTGGCTATCGAAATGGCGTACCAATGATCGATGTTGCCAGGAGCCCCAAGTGCCCCGTGTAACGATGATGTTCTGAAATCCTTTTCTTAACTGTTGAAACAGAAGTGTGTCACGATCCCTTTTGCGATGCACTGATGATCCAAACTGGCGTTTCAGCACACTAATCGCGAAGAAACTTTCGAGAAGTACAATGCACTGACAATCCAAAAACGGTAATCCAGCGCACTAATATCGAGTAAATTTTCGAAAACACACCGAAAAGTATCCTACCGACTGCGCCAATTTTATTTCTGTCCGTAAAACTTGTATTTTTAAAAACGATTTTTATTCAATACGAGCGTTTACAGGCAGCGTTACGACAAGAAGCGACTTAAGAGACTAAATAAGCACATGCACAATACTTGTATTTATAGTATATAAAAGCTGAATAAGCTTATCCTTATCGAATGCGTTCTTATTATTATATGGGTCATCATAAATAGATATATAACTATACGATCAAATATTATGCAACATCTTTCAGACATATTATGCTAGTGACGATAATGTCGGCTTTAGTTTTCAACTACTAACTTATTAAATATTGAGCTACACACTAATCAATGCGCAATTTGTTGGCGTCGGAATAAATTGGGTAATTGGAGGTTATCCGAAGTTAAAATGCGCGGGAAAGGACAAGGAAAGGCTGTAGTTTTAAAATTAACAGCCACATAATATATTAAGCCGCCACAAACCACATCTGCAGTAGTTCAGCAAGTCAGCATTGCTATTAAAAATACCAGTTTTTGCAAATGCCATATTATAGTAGCTTTTTTCTACTCCTTTCTGTAAAATACCTAATTATACACCGATCTAGCTTGGGGAAAGTGTCAGTAAGTTTCGTTTCTCCCGGATCCGAACCACTTCGGACATGTTCGGAATATTCTCGCACGGGCTGGGGAGCAAGCGGATGTTTTCGAAGATACTACTGTGCGGATTCAATTTTCACGTTTGTTGATTCTAACGGTCACCTCAGTGAATTTATTCATGTTGTTTTACAAAAATGTGCCCAAAAAATAACGGCCGTAGAAAAGGTACGGTGCTCCAACAAGTTTGGTAAACGTTTTAAGACCCTCCTTTATTAATCACTCGCTTAGCTGCGTTTCGCTTATGCTAAAACTCGTGACTCAAACACCGTTTACCACACTTGTTGAATAATATATTATTGCAATTTGCTGGGATGAAGGACATGTTATTTCAGTAACCTTTTATTGACTACCCTTTATAATTGAGATAAATATAAAAATGTGGTATAGAAACAAGCACATAACTATTTAGATATTGATACTTATTAAGAATACATGTTTTTTTGTAATTTGCCTATTAGCGAATGTAAGCATTTTATTATACCATTAAATTCATTATACTTTATGCTTTTTTTTTAACGTGCATTGTATTATTTGCCCGTGTTCAACTGATTTTTTTAAATCCTAAGCAGCATCGACACTTTAGCATTTGACCTATCAGATTTAGTCGAATTCTATATGGCACGCGGCACCATTGTACAGGGTGGGCACTTGCTCAGGGGCCTGTACCTTTTCTCAGGAACTACTGATTTGAGAAAAAAAAAGTTTATACAAAAGTTTTATGGTTTAAATTCAGTTTTAAAATGATTTACTT